TCAGACAGGGGACATCATGAGCAGAAGAGAAAACAAGAGGAAAGAAAAACAAAGCAGAGAAGACAGAAGGGGAGAAGAGGGTGTGTGTGGAGGATGCTCGGCAGAGGCTGCGCAGAGACGGGTCTGCTCCGTGGGCCTGCCCTCAGCTCTGCTGATGCCTGGGCTCTCTAGCTGCCCAGACAACGGGGACACGGAGGCCACGTGCAAGTACAGTCACAGAGTTTCTCTGCCACTGTAGGAATGCGCCAGGGGCCGTTCTGCTTGACCACAATTATCATGCTGCTGGACGTCTCATCTGACCTTTACCATTGACGGCTCCCCCTTCCCCGCTCCCTGCCCTTCTTCTTCCATATGCACACTATTTCTATTTTTCATTCTATTTATTCATTTACTTTGGTGTTCCTGGGGCTGGACTCCAGGGCCTCGCAGGGCCAGGCAAGCCCTCTCCCATCCTCAGCTCCTAGGAACCTCTCTGGGGCAGCCCCTCTATCCCAGGTTGTAGAGGCAGCTACACAACATGATGTGTTCATGAATTTGCTCACTGAATTATCCATTCAATATGTACCTCTTGAGCACTGGTTGTATGCCACTGATGAAGATTCAAATATTCATTCATTTGTGTTAATGAATAGATATTCATTAATGTATCCCTTCATTTATTCAATAAACAGATACTGAACACTTGCTGTGTGCCCAGCACTAGAGGGACTGATATATATTATTCGTTCATTCATTTGTTCAGTATGCATGTACTGAGCGCCTGCTGTGTACTTGGCAATAGAGGTATTTATATATATATATATATATACATCTCATTCATTCATTCACCCAGGCAAGATGCTGTGTGGGGCATCTGCTGTCCCTATTTCGTAGGGAACTTGAAAGCTGCAGAGCCTCTAACTTCACAGAACTTTCATTTGCATTTTTAAACCACAGTCACATCCTTGTACTGGGTCCTCAGAGCACCCCTGTGGAAAGAGATTATTTTCATTTCTGCTTTTCAAATTAGCACAGCAAGGGCTGAAAGAGTTGAGTGATTTGCTCAAAATCAGCAAGCTGCACAGCCAGGCCTGGAGCCAGGATTTCCAGCCCAGAATGTAGTCTCAACGAGCCACTCCCCCTTCCGCGGCCTTGGATGGTCACTCCCCTCCTCCAGGACCTTGCGTGGCTCCCTATTACTGCTGATGGAGAACACAAAGGCACCATGCAGGTGTGACAGACGGAGGCCAGGGGTGGCCTAGGGAAGTGGGAGGCAAGTTACCCCGACTCAGGCTCTACTCTGCTCCTCCCCCACAGTTACCATGACAGAATGCTGGTCTCGGGCTATGAGATAACCCAATTTTCAAGAAAAAAATATATGCTGTTTATTTTTATGCAAAATAATGGAGGCAACTTACTCAAAATCTTCTAAAACACTGTGAGAGACAAAGAAAACAGGGCTGGAGATGGAGCTCAGAGGAAGAATGCATATAGCATGCTCAAGGCGCAAAGCCAAGTCCTAGGACACACGGCAGGGGGCCACACTGGGCCACACTGTGGTCTAGACAGCCTGGTGGTGCCTGGGCCCAGCCTGCACCGTGCTCTTTTCCAATCAATCTCAAGGGAGAGGAGCACAGCCACATTCTGCATGTTTTCCCTTTGGGCCCCAAACAGTAAGTGGCCGTCTCGGGCCTCAGCACACATCTGACGATATTCAGAGCGTTTCTTATGGAGTCCTCCCAACGACCCTTCATGCGATGCTATCAACTCCGTTTTGCAGATGAGGAAACAAGTCCAGAGGAGAGGTGCAAACGTGCCCAAGGTCACAGTAATGGGGTGGCCACCCAGAGCTCCTGCTAATGCAGGAATGTTCCAAGGTGAAATGACTGGATTGGGAGAGCTCTGACCCCAGCCGCCACCCAGCTTGAAGACTGCCTGGGTGGTAGCTGCAAGCAGGTGGGGCACCCTGAGCTGAGCAGCTGTCCCCACTGGTCCTCCCCATGACGCTGCCTCACTCAGGCCCAGAGCGGTGGAGTCGGCCCACCACGGACCGAGACCTCCCACACCCTGAGCCAGACGGACTTTCCTCCTCGAAGAAGTCGTCGCTGCCAGGTATTTTGGTCCTGGCGACAAAAAGCTAACTAAAACATCTAGCTCAACGGGGCCCTGGGACGTGACCCCTGATGTGCTTATCTCGCTGACCGCAAGGCTACACGCCCAGCGTCACTGTCACCTCCGCTATCCCATGGCCGCCACAGATCCACAGCCTGCGGAAGCTTCTGCAGGAACCACACTGGCTCCCAGAGTCCGAGCCCCATATGTGACCGCCCGGCCAAGTCACCAAGTGGACACCTGGCGGGAACCTCCCCGCTGGGCAGAGGCAGATCAGGACAGCCTCTGGAGGCCACGCTGGCCAGCTGCCCGGCCTGCCCCGGTCTGTGGAGGGGGGCCCTGCCATCTGGGGACACTTTCCCTCCTCCGCCTCTGGCCACACAGCGGGTGTGGAATCTAGCCAGCTGGTCAGGAGAACTGGGGGACCCCTGGGGGCACCTCTTCCAAGCCCCGTCTATTCGGGATGGATGTATGTCCAGCTGATCGCTGGATTCTGGGGGATGATTCGATTCTGTCTGGGGGCAGCCAAGGTCGGGGTGAAAGATGTGGACTCTGGAAGCAGAAGAGACCTGTGTTGTGAGTGCTTTGCCATTAATGGGCACCAGGAACTTGGCAAACGACAGAATAACAGTGGACATGAATGAAACTACTTCTCTGTGTCCAGAGCTTTATAGGCAATGCCGTTTACTCCTTGCAACCGCCCTACATGACAGGGAGTTATCATACGACTTACAGATGAGGATAGAGGCACAGAGAGGTTGGGTGACTTGCCCAGGGTCACACAGCCTAGCTGGGATAGGAACCCAAGCAGTCTGGCTCAAGGCCATGCTTTTTATAGCAATATGCTATTAGTTCACTTGTCAAAATGAGCCACGTAGGTAAGTCTTGGGGTGAGGGCTGAGCAGGCCAGAGGATGGAGACCGAGGATGAAGAGCTAACTCTTCATGATACTGCACCTTGGCTCAACTTTGGCACATGAACATCCTGCCCTGGGGCATCCTCTGTGATGTGGGGGGTCCTCTGTACTGTGGGGTATTGGGCAGAACCCCTGTTTTCTGCCCACTGGATGCCAGTAGTGGCCCTCCCCCTACCTGTGACAATTAAAAATGTCTGCTGACATCGGCAAGTGCTCCCCGCTGGTCTAGAAGGGCCCAAGTCACGAGATTCAGTGAAATCCAGGCTCAAGTTTTCTGAGAGGCCCCCGCCTGGTCCCGCCACGCTCTCTTCTCCTGTCTGGTTTCTTGGTTAGGGGTGCTCTCTCCCCTCCTCCCTCCAACCAGAAAAAGGGTGCAGCTGTCACTCGCACCCTTGGGACATGGGACGTGGGCTGGTGGAGTCCAGAGGGCTGAGCCCAGGGCATCCCTCCAGGCCGGCAGGGGGAGAGGCAGCCTCGAGAGGCCTTGACGGCCACCCCTGCAGCCCGGAACCAACCCAGGTCCTCTGGCATGATGGCCCACTCCACCTCCCAGCCTGTGACCCTGGCCCCGCCATGGCCACTTCGGGCACTTGGAGGTGGCTGTCTCCCTGGTGTCTGCCGGCCCAGGGTTTCCCGCCCAGGTCCAGGGGATACAGCTGGAGCCTATTGCTCGCACGGCATGGCCCAACGTCTGCTCATTCACTGGGTCAACACAAATGCATTGAGCACCCGGAGATTTAAGCCACCAACGTCACGGTTAAGACCACAAGATCCACCTCTGTGACATGGCTTTGGGTAAGGTGCACGTTCTCTGTGCCTCAGTTTCCCCTTCAGTAAAGCCGGAGTGGTCGCACAGGTTGAGTGTCCCTGTCCCACACACCTGGGAACAGAAGTGTTTCTTTTTTCCAGATTTAGAATATTTGCCTAGATTCTATCAGCTGAGGATCTCCTAATTCATAAATCCAAATTGCTCCAAAGTCCTAAATGTTTGGAGAGCCAGGCCAGCACACAGACATCCCATATTTCCAGACTTTGGAAGCACCAGCTGGGTGACTGGATGAGCTGACGAAGGAAGCATGTGTGGCCCGGTGCCGGTGACACAAGGCCGTGACGTGTTAGTTACAGTGGCAGTTTCCATCACCTACCCACCATGTCCCCCTTTCCTAACAGAATTCCACGTTTGCTTAGGTACCTGACCCGTACCCAGCCCAGGAGTTCATTTTTATAAGCCTAAGCCAGTGGTTCTCAAAGAGTGGTCCCCGGACCAGCAGCAACGGCATTGCCTGGGAACTTGTTAGAAACGTTACAGTTGCCCTTTCATTGGTCTGCGGTGCCTGTCCTTATACAAGGGGATTCATGCTATCGCTCCACATTGCACTGGAGACGGTACAGGTTCGGTTATAGTCTTCTTTATATAGATGAGGAGGTTGACGCTCAGAGAGGTCAATTCACTTGCACAAGGTCACACAGTCAGAAGCGGTAAAGTGAAGCATGAGGCCAGGTCCACGTGACTTTCAGCAAATAATCACTAGGCTACCCTGCCTCTGGAGGAACTGCAAGGTATTAGAGACGGACCAAGAAAGAGAACAATAAGGCTATCAGGGAGTATCATCACAGAGTGTGTGCTCTCACAGTGGTGCCTTTACAGACCTCCTTACTCCCCTGAGGGCCAAGTTCATGGTCAGGAGGACAGCAGCTTTGCATGCCGGCAGAATCAAAGACCCAAACGCAGTGTAACAAAATAAGAGCAACGGAAAAAACCCAGGGGACAGTCCTTACAGGTAATAAAACCGCAAGAGCTGGCGGGGGGCCGCCCAGCTGCAAACCAGCAACGACCCGCTCGGGACACAGCAGACCCCCAGCCACGTGTGACCTCACAGTGGCCCTAGCACTGGGTCTCCTCACAGCCCACCAACGTGGAGGAGTTGCTACCCATCAACGTCACTCACTGCAAGGGACCCGGAGGACGCTGGCAGAGAAGAGGGTGCCTTACTGTTTTCCTGCCGTACTGGTCTGAGATGTTTCCCCAGAGCGTGGAGCTGGACATCATGCCTACAAAGACCACCTGTGGACGTAAAGACAGTTTCTATTAGTGACATGGAGCAGGAGAAAAGGAATGATCACCCAAACCCACAACATGGCACCCCGGTAAAAATAACAAGCCGAGCCCAGGCGCGGGGTGGGGGTGGGGGTTCATGCCTGCAATCTCAGCAGTTGGGGAGGCTGAGGCAGGAGGATCGTGAGTTCAAGGCCAGCCTCAGCAATTTATCAAGGCTCTGAGCAACTCAGTGAGACCCTGTCTCTAAATAAAATATAGAAAAAGGGCTGGGGACGTGGCTCAGTGGTCGAGCGCCCCTGGGTTCAATCCCTGGTCACAGCAATGAGCCAACGCTGCGAACCTACCAGAGTGCAAACACCATCTCTGTGCTTCGCACGGCCACTTGGGGCTCTGGATCATTGCACAGGGCAGGTGTTAATGTGAACCCTATTTTTCAGATGAGGAAACTGAGGCTCAGAAAAGCAAAACCACTCCGCCAGGGTCCCACAGGGGTAGGTGTCGGCAGCCAGACTGGCCTTAGGCAGTGTGGCTCAGAATGGGGGTTTTGCCAGTTTCTCACCAGCAAAGAAATGTCTCCTGGTGCTAAGAAAAGAGCCAGGGCCACAGTGTGGAGCTTGGCCGTGGGCAGGTGGGGGGTGCTGGGCATCCCCAGGCGGCTGACCGGGGCCTCACACCCTCACCACCGCCTGCCAGACACCGTGCTGAAGGCCCCACAGCTCTTCCCCAACCTCGTGGCCCTACGAGGTGGTGCCGTCAGTGCCCATTTTACAGATAGGGCAATTGAGGCCCAGAGAGAACATGCACCTTCTGTCAGACCCTAGGAGCCCTTCTCCTGGCACGTCCTAGGGTGGTGGCTAAAAACAGGGTGTATCATCCTCGCCGGGTATCCGGGGGAGACTGGCTCCAGGACAGTCTGCAGACACCCCAACCCGCAGACACTCACTGAGTCTCTTATGTAACAGGGCACAGAATTTGCTGGTGACCTCTGCCGTGCTCCCGTATACTCCAAGCCATCTCTAGATGACACATAATCCCTAATGCAAATGCCAGGGAAACAGCTGCCATCCGACCCTCAACAGCCCTGTTCTCTCCTGAGACCGACTCGGGGCTCTGATCTGCTCCCGGCCCAGGTCCCTTCTCTGTGTCTCCCACTGCAGAGTGCACTGAGGGCCACGCAGACCCCCCAGGATGCCTCAGAAGGGGACAGCAACAGTCAGTCATCTAGGTTCCAACATCTTTATTGTTATATTATTTTTTTTTATGTGGTGCTAGGGATGGAACCCAGGGCCTCACGTGTGCTAGGCAAGCGCTCTGCCACTGAGCCCCAACCACAGCCCTTTACCTTTAGTTATTTATTTTGATTTTTTTTGTAGTTGTAGATGGACAACATGCCTTGATTTCATTTGTTTATTTTTATGCAGTGCTGAGGATCGAATCAGGGCCTCACATGTGCAAGGCAAGCGCTCCGCCAACCATACTTTATTTTTAACAAAACAGAAAGATGACCCAATCAGGTGGCCAACAAATTAGATCACTAAAAGTCATTTTTCATAAATGATAAAGGTGTGCTCTTTAGTATGTAACTTTGGAAATTGTTTTAAATTCTCAAGTGGCATTAGTTTATTGAGTTATAATGGGATTCCTGCACACGCCTAAAACTTCTTTCACGTGAACAAAAAAATTTTTTTTAATTTATTTTTTAGTTATCGGCGGACACAACATCTTTGTTTGTATGTGGTGCTGAGGATCGAACCCGGGCCTCACGCATGCCAGGCGAGCGCGCTACCGCTTGAGCCACATCCCCAGCCCACGTGAACAAAATTGTCACATTAAAATCCATTCAGCAAAAATGACAGATAGAAAAAGAAATAGTGCTAAAATCATTCAAGAGTGTATAAAAATATTTGAAAAACACTTCATACCACTCATTAAGGGATACGGTCTCAATAAAAATTTACTTATGTTTAATAATTATTTGTTGCTGGGAACGGTGGCAGAGGCTTGTAATCCTAGGAGCTGAGGCAGGAGGATTGCCAGTTGGAGGCCAGCCTCAGTAACTTAGTGAGAACTTGTGTCAAAATAAAAAATAAAAAGGGCTGAGGATGAAACTCAGAACCCATGGGTTCAATCCCCAGTACCAAAAAAAAATTGTCAAAATTAATTACATCTTCTTGTTGATCTACTGTTGTTACTAAAAATTGCAATGACAAATCAATGCAGGAGATATACTTTAATGCTCAGAGCCTTCTCATCTCACAAAACGAGAAACGATCATTTAATCTTTAGATTTTTTGTGAGGGGTTTACTGAGGATTAAACCCAGGGGCACTTGACCACTGAGCCACATCCCCAGCCCTATTTTGTATTTTATTTAGAAACAGGGTCTCACTAAATTGCTTAGGGTCTCGTTAAGTTGCTGAGACTGGCTTTGAACTCACAATCCTCCTGCCTCAGCCTCCCGAGCTGCTGGGATTACAAGTGTGTGCCACCGCACCTGGCTTTATATTTAGCTTTGTCATAGAGAGTTATGATAGAGTGATGGATGTGATATTTTCAAGTGCAAGAAAATATTACATGAAGTTAAAATTATAGGGAAAAATGAAATAGAAATACTAATTCAAGAAGAAAACTACAAGGGCTGGGATTATCACTCAGATATTGGTTGACTACAATCAGAGGGAGAGCATTTGCCCAACCTGTACAAGGCCCTAGGCTTAATCCCCAGCATCACAACAAACAAAATACCCACAAAAATACAATGCAAAGGTTCTAAATTCTTTTTCTTCTTCTGAAGAACTTCTTTGTGTGTTTTGTGTTTGTTTGTTTGGTTTTAGGGTTTTTTTCCCCCCAACCCCTGGGGATTGAACCCAGGGGTGCTTCACCATTGAGCTACATCTCCAAGCCCTTTCTAAAAAATTTTTTTTGAGACAGGATCTTACTAAGTTGCTGAGGATCTCACTAAACTTCTGAGACTGGACTTGAACTGGTGATCCTCCCGCCTCAGCCTTCTAAGAGGCTGGGATTACAGGCGTGCGCCACCCAGAATGGCTTCTTCATGCTGTTTTGAAACAAATGATGGTGGGTATCAGGTAAGTATTTCAATTCCATTGGATAGATTTTAAAAACTAATATGATAACTTTATTTCATTTTTTTATATTTCAACATACTGGAAATGATATCTAATCTGCAATCTACAATTTTTAAATTTTATTATCTTTTGCAGTGTTGGGAGTAGAACTCACACCAGGTGTGTGTGCCAGGCAAGTGCTCTACCTCTGAGCCACATCCCCAGCCACTCCTGGCCATCCATTATCCGGCCAACCATTTCCAACTCTAGTATTTCTTTTTTCAGGAGTGTGGGGGTGTGTGCTGGGAATTGAACTCAGGGATACTCAACCACTGAGCCACATCCCCAGCCCTATTTTGTATTTTATTTAGAGACAGGGTCTCACTGAGTTGCTTAGTGGCTTGCCATTGCTGAGGCTGGCTTTGAACTCACTATCCTCCTGCCTCAGCCTCCCGAGCCACTGGCTCAACTTTGGTATTTCTTATGGCAACAATGACATGCACATCACACCCTGCTGACACAGGCAATGGTAGACAGACTCGACCCCACTGCTCTGACTCTCCCGCTGCTTAGCCATGGGGTTCTGGCTCTACCTGACCCACATATTCCAACTCCATATCACAAGAAAGTCGTCCAGGGCGGTGGCTGGGACCAGGGCCCTCTGAGTCTGCCGGGGCCTGAATTTCAAACCCGACTTGGACTCTGAACAGACCATTCGACCTGGAGCAAGTCAACACGTTTTCTAAGCCTTGTTTTCCTCACCTATAGAAATGGGGGCCTACTGGGATCTCTTCCACAGGACAGAGGGGGTCAAAGAGAAAGTGTGCAGAGCCTGGCACATTAAGAAGTGCTCCATAAACCGTGGTTGTCATCAACCCGTGGCGGCCCAAGTGCAGCCAAGAAATCAAAGCAGATCAAATAAAAAATAAACCTATGACAAGACCAGAAAAGCCCTGCACTGGTACAACAGAGGCCTGCGGGGACTCTCATCGGGGCCTGTGGGAGGAGCTCACTCTCCCCTGGCTGGGCGCCAGGCCTGGTGAAGTATTCTGTCCCCATCTGCAGAGAAACCGGCCATCAGGCAGCTCACTCGGGCCACATTTCTAGGAGTATAAACACAGGTGGCTGCTGAATGGCAGGACCTCACTGCGCTCAGAGCACTCCAAAACCGTTATCTCTAAAAGATAATGAAAAGAAGAATTAAAAAATAAAAGATTTAAGCCAGCCAGGCATAGTGGGGCAAGCCTGTAACCCAGGTGGCTCAGGAGGCTGAGGCAGGAGGATTTTAAGTTTGAGGCCAGCCTCAGCAACTTATTGAGACCCTGTCTCAAAGTAAAAAGGGCTGGGGATGTGGTTTAGTGGTTAAGTGTCCCAGGATCCAATCCCTGGTACCCAAAACAAAAACAACAAAAAAAGACTCCTAGGGGCTTGGGAGGTTGGGACAGGAGGATCGCGTGTTCAAAGCCAGCCTCAACAACTTAGGGAGGCCCTAAGCAACTCAGTGAGACCCTGTCTCTAAATAAAATATAGAATGGGGCTGGTGATGTGGTTTAGTGGCTAACAGACCATGTGACCTGGAGCAAGTCTGCTCCCCTGGGATCAAAATCAGTACCTCCTCCCACCAAAAAAAGAAACCCAAACACCCAAGCAGCATTCTGGGATGCACTGACAGTAACTGCTCTCTCTGCCCCTAGCCAGGCCACGTGACCCTGATGAAGTGGCTGGACCTCTCTGAGCCTTGTTTTTCTCAGCTAACAGTGGTACCAGCTCCCAGGGTCACAAGGATGTATCTGTGCGTACACTCTCGACAAAAAAGTGTGGCTCGAGCCATTTCACAGGAGGGGCTCCATAAACACTGGCTTTTGAGATTTTCACTATCACTCTCATCTGGTCTGGCGTCCCCCTTCCTTGTAGAGGGTCTGTCTCACCCTCCTTTAGGCCCTTGTTCCCGTGAGCAGCTCTAACCACTGTTTATTGAGCAACTAGGACATGTCAGGCATGTTCTTTCTAGTCCTCAAATCTCCTCCTGTGAAGGAAGCTGACATCTCCTTCTCACTGTCAGGGAAAGTGAGGCTTGTCGGGTGTACGTAACACGCGCAGGTGGTCCCAGGGTCCGGAGCACTGAGAACCAGGTCTGGGCCCCCGGGTGGACAGATGGACAGATGGAAGGGGCCCAGGGCTTGGTTCCTTTCTGCTGAGCCCTTAGCAGCAGGGGACGGGGACATCCCATGGGGCACCCCAGAGGACATCCCACAGGGCACCCCAGGGGAGCAGAACTGTGCCAACCAACCAACCAGAGGGAGAGGGCCTGGGGCTGCCTACCGAGGTCAGCAACGCCACCTGCCAGCTGGGGAGCCGCCACTCGCAGTGCAGCTGGGGCGCCAGGATGCTCAGGATCATCATCTCCATGGCGTCGGCCATCTGCAGAGAGCAAGGGAACACCGTGAGGCCAGGAGGCGGCCCTGCGCCTGACAGGGTGGCTGGTCCGTGACCCCAGGGAGCGTGTGGCCGCCCAGCGCCATCATCTGCCCAGCTCCCCATGAACCCAAACACCTGGGAAGCCCAGCGGTTCAGCGGGATGCCATGGTGGAACTGACAACACTCTGTGTGTTTCCTCACTTTTAAAAAAATACAGGAACTTCCCCGATGAAATGGGACGATGTTATATATTTCTAAAATATGAGAGAAAAAAAAATTTTGTTTTTTTGGTGTCAGGGATTGAACCCAGAGGCGCTTAACCACTGAGTCACATCCCCAGACCTTTTTAAAAAAAAAATATTTTACTTAGAGACAGGGTCTCCTTGAGTTGCTTATGGCCTCTCTAAATTGCAGAGGCTGGCCTCGAATTCACTATCTTCCTGCCTCAGCCTCCGGAACCACTGGGATTACACCTTGGTGACTTTCTGGGACTAGACAGACAGAATAATAAGAAATAAGAGTTTTAAAGCAGATTTGTACAGCCACGGGACCGCGAGGTTCAAGGAAGCCGCTCTTCAGATTAGTGAAATGACGTGGGGAAATCGACCATCAGTTTGGAAAAATATGCAGTTAGATGGCATCTCATACCAGTCACCAAAGTCCACGGCAGCTGGATTGAAGGTCTAGCTGCGCTCTGCCACAGCCGCGGGGGGACGTTAGCAAGGGATTGTGAGCCCCTTGAAGTAGGAGGCTTTTTTGGGGGGTGGGCCGTACTGGGGATCAACCCAGAGCCTCTGCACAGTGAGGCCAGTGATGGTCAATATGATGATCTCGGCTACGTCCCCGGCCCATAAGCCACTTTGTCTGTTTTCCTAGGGAGCCAGCCACGGCAGACGTCACCATCTCCTAGCAGCCCTGAAGCCACTTTGTCAGCTGGGGGCTTCAGCTCTCTCTTGGGGGGCTCCATAGCCACTCCCAGCTCCTCCCTAGCCCAGAGCTGGATGGTCACTGTCACCCACAGAAGCCTCACTAACTGGCACTCAGGCAAAGACCCTGGAAGGCGGGCACTGTGTCCGTCTTGCAGGCCAGGGGACCCGCGGTGAGCGTCGCGGGGTTCTGGGAGATGCCCGTGAGCCCCTGCCCCGGGATACTTGCCCACGCCAGGCCAGTGAGGACGGACAGCTTCCACTGAAACTTCCCAAACCCAATGGCTTCCACCGCATCTTCCACCATGAAAGTATCTGGGAAGGAAAAGGGGAACGGAGGAAGGGTCAGCGCACCTCGCATTGGTCCCTGCGTGGGGTGTCGGCAATGGTCCCCAGCCAAGCTGATGAATCGCAGCACGTGCTGCTTCTAGAACTTACCCCAGCAGAAAAAAAATTCTAGCAAGTGTGAAAAGGTGTCTTGCTATTGTGACATTATTTATAGCAGGAAAAATAGAAAGCCAGAATGTCCACCCGAAGAGGGCTGGTTAAATAAATTATTACATATTATATGTAAATTATTAAGTGTTCACACGATGAAATATGACCTGTTAAAAAGAATGTATAGAGCTGGGCGCTGTGGCACACACCTGTATTCCCAGGGGCTTGGGAGGCTGAGGCAGGAGGGTCACGAGTTCAAAGCCAGCCTCCGCAAAAGCGAGGTGCTCAGCAACTCAGTGAGACCCTGTCTCTAAATAAAATACCAAATAGGGCTGGGGGTGGGCTCAGTGGTCAAGTTCCTTGAGTTCAACCCCCAGTACCCCCCAAAAGAATGTATAGATAAAAAGATGTACATATTAATTTTTTGGGGGGGATACTAGGAATGAAACCCAGGGGTCCTCTACCACTGAGCTACATCCCCAGGCTTTTTATTTTGAGACAGGATCTAACAATGTTGCTGCCTCAGCCTCCCAAGTCACTGGGATTACAGGTGTGTGTCACCGGACCTGGCTCTATTAATTTTTTTTATGTTTATTTTTTAGTTTTTGGTGGACACAACATCTTTATTTAATTTTTATGTGGTGCTGAGGATCGAACCCAGGGCCCTGCACATGCCAGGTGAGCGTGTTACCGCTTGAGCCACATCCCCAGCCCTCTATTAATTTTTTTTTAAAAAATTTTTAGTTGTAGATGGACACAATACCTTTATTTGGTTTATTTAGTTTTTTAATATGGTGCTGGGGATCGAACCCAGTGCCTCAGGCATGCTAGGCAAGCGCTCTATCCCTGAGCCACAATCCCAGCCGAGCTGTGTTAATTTCTAAAAACAAGCTGGACAACATAATATGTATAACAGGCATATAGACGTGGATGTAGATATCTATATATCTACAGATATATGAGATTCTAATTTAGGGTTTTATTTTTGTCATCCTCAGATAGGGGCAGGGTAGAAGCATCAGACCCTTTACTTTCTTCCTTTTATAATTTATTACTTACATAGTCAGGAGGAAATCAATGCTTCTATTTTATTTAATTTTTTTTCCCGGTGCTGGGGATGGAACCCAGGGCCTCATGCGTGCGAGGCGTGCGCTGAGCTCTGCTGCCCCCCAAATGGTTTTTAAAGCAGAATTCCATTTGCACCAAGGTGGGAAGATGTCCACCCTCTGTGGCTATGTGGAAATGCAAGCCGTGGAGGGGTAGGTGCGGGAAGAGATGGTTTGTGATAAAATTAGTTTTTTTCTTTTTCTTTTCTTTTTTTTTTTTGTGTGTGACAGTGTGCGTGTGTCCTGCAGAGAAAGAAAGACCTAGTGGACACTGACCAACTGTCCCCAGCGTCATCTTTGCGAACCCCCCTCACTTTCCTACTTTGGACATTTTCTTTCCATGTTATAGAAACAGAGGTTATTTTTGTTCCCAGAAAGAAAAAGAAAAAAGCATAATTGATAAGCGAATAAATAAACACCCAACGATTAAGCTCAAGGGGCATGCTGGCTGAGTCCTGGGACAAGGGGACTGGGCAAGGCCGGGAGTGGGAAGGAGCCCTGGTCACGGAGGGGACACCAGTGCTAGTGTCTCAGTTCTGAAGAAGCACTGGGCAGGTGAAGTGCTCCCCTGAGGGCAGGCGGGGGGACGCGTGGGTGGCACCTCTCTACTCTCTGCTATTGTTTGGATCTGGACTGTCCCCAAAAGCCCCTGTGCTAAAGGCTCAGTCCCCAGCCGTGGGGCTCCTGGGAGGCGTGGACCTCTAGGAGTCTCCCCCCTAGTCACAGGAAGTGAGGCCACCAGGGGGGTGAGGCCACTGGTGCCCCAGAGACCCCGCCAAACGACCCCAGCCTGCGACCTCTGGAACAGGAGCCACGGTGCCACTTTCCTCTCTGTACATGAGTCACCCGGTTATTTGGTTGTAGTAGTGGGGAGTTGACTTTTTTTTTTTTTTTTTTGCAAATTTAAAATGATTCCAAAATGAAGTTCATAAAAATCTAAGAAACTAAAGGAGGATACTGGGTGGCCCTCCCATGGACATCCCTGGGGACCTGGGGATCTCTTCAGTCCCTGCCCGGAGTCCCCGTCTCTTTTGGAATTTCAACCCTGAGCCTCTTACCATGGTGACCATGTTTTATGGAGGTCATAATTTTCTCCAGGGTGTGAACTGGTGTTCATCACACCGGCAGGTTCTAGGTTCCCCAGGAAAAAGTGGGGTGAGGAGAAAGTGGGGTGCGTCCTAGGACAGCATGGATTTTTTTTTCAGTAGTGGGGGCTGAGCTCAGGGCCTTGTGGGTGCTAGGCAGGCGCTCCCCTCCTGAGCTGTGTCCCCAGCCCAGGATGACAACAGGAACAGCACTAACGTGGGGCGTTGCCGAGAGCACCCTGTATGCCAGGTCTACACCGAGAACTCACTGTGCCTTGGGTCATCAAATGTCCATCACAACTCTAGGAATTAAGGTGCCACCAGCCCCATCTGGAGGGGGATGGCACCTGCCCGGGTGGCAGACTAGTGCACAGTAGGCCGGGAGGTGAGTCGGATCAGCCTGAGGTCAAAGCCTCTGCTCTCAACTCCCACCATGGCTGCTGCCTATTGGATCTGCTGGGAACAGGTCCTGGGTTCCACCCTCCTTGGTTGGGAGACTGGGGCATTTAGGAAAGCATGGAATGTTCTCGTCACTCAGCCTCAGGTGGACATGGGAGTCTGACACCAGGTCCCACGTTCCATCTTGGGTCCCTTATTGGACCCTCCTGTGTTCAGAGGCTGCACAAGGTCATAGGGCTATGAGGCCTGATTGCTTGGGTATAAGTCCCAGCTAATTGGCTAATTCCTAGCTGCACAAGCCTGAGGAAGACACCGAACCCTCTGTGCTCCAGTTCCTTACTGTAAGGACGGGGACGACGCTGACAGTGCCAACGGCCACTGCTGTGGGGATGGAATGGGAAACACAGGTAGCTGCTCAGAGCAGCAACTGGCATGGAGAAAGTCCTCAGCCAATGACAGCTGCTCCCACACCTCTGTCATCATCACACCATCATGGTCATCACCATCACCACCACCATCACCATCATCATTACTATCACCACCATCATCACCATCATCACCTCCACCATCACCATCACCATCATCATCACCACCACCATTATTATCACCACTATCATCACCATCATCATCACTATCCCCAACATCACCACCATCACCACCACCACCATCATCATCATCACCATCATCATTACTATCGCCATCATCATCACCATTATCATCACCGCCATCACTATTATCCCACCACCACCATCACTGCCACCATTATCATCACCATCATCATCACTATCTCCACCATCACCACCACTAACACCATCACCACCATCATCACTATTGCCACCATCATCACCATTATCATCACCACCATCATCATCATCCCACCACCACTATCACCACTACCATCACTATCACCAACATCACTACCACCACCAACATCATCACCACCATCACCATCACCATTATCATCATCACCACCTTCACCATCATCCCACTACCACCAGCACCACCACCATTATCATCACCACTATCATCATCATCACTATCAGCACCATCATCACCATTATCATCACCACCACCATCATCACAAAGATCCCATTGCCACCATCATTGCCACTACCATCACCACCACCACCACCACCACCACCATCACCACCATCATCACCACTATTATCCTGACTATCATCTCTTACCAACGACCTGTGCTGATGAGATGAACTGGGTTCAAAGGAGTTGGCTGCAACATTAAACTAAGAAAATGGCGAAGAACTCAGGCAACACACGGACACGAGTGTGGGACTGCTCTGTGACCTTCGGGGTCAGCTTCCATGCTGGAAAGTGCTGTAAAAGGGGGGGCACGCACCTGGAATCTCTTTATTTTTATAAGGGGGGGACACACAAAGGATTTTCCATAGAATATTCTGCACCAAATAAGGCAGTTAGGGATAAGGTTTCAAAGGTGGAGTCTTGCTTCGTGGTGTCCTGTGGTCAGCAGATCGACATCTTGGCAAGTCACGCCCACCTCAGGTGCTGCGTGGGATCACAGGCAGAGCGAGAGGAGAGGCACTTGCATCGCACAGCCCAATCGGCGTGCAATGCCAGACCTGTCCCCTCATACGGCTACTAGGAGCATAGCTCACACACAGCCCACGAGTGGCTCACGACAATGATCACCACTATCATCACCATTATCATCACCATCACTACCATCATCACTACTATCACTATCACCATCACTACCACCACCACCATCCTCACCACCATTGTCCCCGTCACCATCCCCACATCCCCACACCCCCATTGCCATCCCTGCTGCTGCCATCGTCAGCAAGTGTCATGCAGTGATGTGACTGGCAGGGATTGTGATGTGACCCTGTGCTGAAGTGAGCCACAGAGAGCAGCCTACATTCCCAGTGTCACCCCTGGAACCTCGGTGCGCCCCCCAACTGCCCTCCATGGGAACTTTCTGAAAGCGCCACCTGGGGAGGCCACCTGGACCTGGTCTGATGCCCGAGTGGCCCGGCTCGCTCACCGTCGGTGGGATTGGCGAACTCCTTGGGCACGGCCGCCCCATCGTCCAGCTCGACCGCCTCTAGGCCCCCCCGGACCCCTTCAATCTGGACCTCATGCTCTCCCGAGGCCGCGTCGTCCTCTGACCTCGCGCTCTCGCCTGTGCGACGGAACTTCACCACCCTAGGGAAGAGAGCAGGTCCCATTAGCATGGCCAGGTCGCGTCCCCAGTGGCCTCACCGCGCAGCCCTTGGGCCCAAGACAGGTGAGACGCCTTCCTCTCCTGATATGGAGAGGGGAGCAGGTGGCGGGTGGCTCTTCTATTCAGCGGGGTGAGGTGAAGAAGAGTGACAACTCCCAGTTATTCTACCAGGGCTGGTCAGTTGGCCAGGCTGCGCACTGCACAGTGCCAGGCTCTGAGACCTGAACGCTGCTGAGCAGTATAGCACGGTCACACATCGCTTCACACCGAGGACACTGCTGGGAAAGTGTCACTAGGTCATTTCCTAGTTGGATGATCATGACAGAGAACACTCACACAGACTAACACAGATTCTGGGCGACACACTTGCGGAACCACCGTCACATACAAAGCCCGTCGCTGGCCAAAGGAGTGACAGGCTCTGCACCATCGTATATGTTTCAGAATCTGGACTCGCCTGCCCCTCCACGGAACACCAGCAACAATTTGGTCACCTGCGGTTTACATGAGACCACAAAAAGTTTCTTGCAGTTGTTTTTTTTTTTTTTAATTTAAAGTGGATGCCAACATTTTTTAATTGAGAGAATTTACACTACAGGTCAGATTTCCAGATAGAAGGCTATTTATCTGGTCATCGGTGTTCATACTCTACAGAACTGTGGCTAGACCTAGGCAGTGGTGGCCCCTTCAAACGGGACTATGCTCCACTATGACCACAGTCTCCTCTTCTCCAAATAATCTGCAGCCCGGAGTGTCTTTTACCACTTACCCTTACACGTGTCCTGCCTTCCTCTCTCATTGGCACTTTGCCCCATCTGTCTGGCCCAGTAAGGCATGTGAATTGAGACTCCATACACCCCACTCTCGTGAAATTCACTCCTTCAAACTTGGTGACTCTGAACAGCAGTTTCTTCCTCTGGCACTGAGAGGCAAAATTACCTGCCTCCTTCAAACTTTTTATTCCAAAATACAAAACTCGCTGGCTGCCAGCCCCTTGGTGGTGCCTGAGATAACAGCGCGGGCAGCCAGGTATGTTCAGGACCTCACGGCCTCACAGGGGAAGATGATTCAATATGTAACACTCATTTCTATCAAACTTGAAAAAAGTTTGGCGTGTCAGGGGCATGAACAGCAGAGGGGCTGTATGAGCAACAGGACAGCAAAGTTGATTAGTGTCTTAAACAGGTTAAAGAAAAAGAGAGATAGCTAGGCATGGTGGCTCACACCTGTAATCCCAGCAACTCAGGAGGCTGAGGGGGGAGGATCACAAGTTAGCCTCAGCAACTCAGGGAGACCCTGTCTCAAAATGAAAAATAAAAAGGGCTGGGGAAGTGGCTCAGTGGTAGAGCACCCATGGGTTCAATCCCAGTTCCCAAAAAGATAGAGTGTGTGTGTGAGAGAGAGAGTGAAATCTAAATAACAATAGTGCTACTATTATTAATTCACATTATTCCATGTATTTAAGCAAAGATAACTAGTGCTCTGGCATAGAAAGTGTTTACGTCAAAGGTGCAGGGAATTTTTTTATTAATTTGTACCAGGGATAGAACCCAGGAGGGCTTAACCACTGAGCCACATCCCCAGCCCTTTTATTTTGATTTTGAGGGGTCTCATTTAGTTGCTTAGGGCCTTGCTAAATCACCGAGGCTGGCTTTGAACTCACAATCCTCCTGACTCAGCCTCCCGAGCTCCTGGGATGACAGGTGTGGGCCACCACGCCTGGCCAAGTGCAGGGAATTTGTTCTGCTTGGGAACTTCTTCTAGAAAACACAGATGAGAAATCAGAGATTATGTTAATAACTGTAGCTTTGCTCTTCATCAACAAGAAGAAATATTTGCAAGTCATCTATGTGGTAAGCATTCAATGTCCAGAATATACAAAGAACTACAACTCAGCCACAGAAAAAGACGAACAGCCCAATTTAATGTCTATTTGAGTAGACATTTCTTTAGGGAAGATATGCGGCCAGGCGCAGTAGTGCACGCCTGTAAGCCCAGCGGCTGGGGAGGCTGAGGCAGGAGGATCACAAGTTTGAGGCCAGCCTCAGCAACTTAGCAAGGCCATGAGCAACTCAGTGAGACCCTGTCTCAAAATAAAAAGTAAAAAGGGCTGGGGATGTGGCTCAGGGGTTACACGCTCCTGGGCTCAATCCCTAGTACCAAAAAAAAAAAAAAAAGAGGCAGGTAAAGACCCCAGGAAGACTATGACCTTGAAGGTGTGAGGGAAAGAGATGCGGTGTCTTCAACTGAATTATGGTTGATCGGTGACAGTTTCATATGGCTCAACCTTATGCAGGACAGTAGGAGCAGAGTTATTCTCTCTGTTACCTACGTAATTTTATATTCTAGAAATATTTCAAATTACAACTTTGTGTGTGTGGGGGGGGGGAGGGGGGCAGATAGGACAGGGAGCCGCTGGGCAAGGACGTGGCTTCTGTTGACATCTAGACTCAACCTGGGAGCCCTGGGTGGGAGCTGGGCACCAGGAGAGGGATGGGGGTTTCACAGGGTCAGCACCCGCTGGCCCCGTGCAGAAGGCTGACCTCCCAGGCTGGGGGGGCTGCCGTCCGCCCAGGGCATCCTCCAGGCCAGATGGCAGCAGGTAGCCATACCGGTCCACAGCGGCAGCACTGGGGGAGGAGCCAGCCCCGCAGAGGGACTCTGCCCTGGGCACCACCGTATCTGCCGCAATCAGGTTCCCGCCGCGTTATTGCACCGATTAATTCCAAAGCACTCTGCAGAGGGAGGGGTGATTAATCACTGACTTCCCCCCCAAACTTCCTAGATTAAAGCTCTCAACCCGCACATCTAGTCATTGAGCACGTGCCAAAAGCCAAGTCCTACCTGAGCCCTTTCTATAATCCCCTATTAACCTGACAACCAACCTATGGATTCCATACTATCATGATACTCATTCTGCGGACAAGGAAAAAGATGCTCAGAGAGGTTAAGGCGCCGGCCCTCGGCCACACAGCCTGCGGGAGCTGAGATTTCAGCCTGGGTGCCTCAGTTGGAGTCACTGATTCGGTGCCTCTCCCAGCATGTCTGGCGTAGGAGTGGACCCTCTCCTGAGCTGACCTGCAGGGGCACGCTTGCCAGACACAGGAATCAGGGGTACGGCTCAGTTCCAGCCCGGCTGACTGCAGTGGCCGTGCAGGGGTTCTGGAAGCCGGAGCCTCGACCCCTCGGGGCTGTTGCAGCAGATGGCCGCGCCCCACCCCCACAAGATCGGATTCAGGGCTGGGCGTTTCTAAGTCTCCAGATGTTGCTGATCTGGGAGCTGCTTCTGTGCATCAGGGCCCCCTCCCAGCCCCCCACTGGGGAGCAGTCACACAGAGGGACCTGCCAAGGGACCGGCCCTGAGAAGCCACGCCCACGGGGCTGGCTGAGCTGGGGCCCAGAGGACCGTCCCTGGGTCTGGAGCTTGCCTATCTTGCAGGGGAAGGAGATGAAGTTCCTCAGGACCGGCCTCTGCTTACAAGGCCCACCCGGCTCAGCACGTGCCCAGCCAGAGCCCCGTTTGATCCAGTTTGTGTTAATTTAGGAGAGGGGATGCTGATGGACACAGGGGGCGCCTATCATCCAGCTCTCAAATACCACTGCCCACGGTTGCCCCCTCGCATTTGCCAACATCTGGGGAGTAAATGCTTCCCTGGTGGCAATTTCAAGCTACCAATGGTTAAGTAACAGGCTCCAAAAGTTCCTGAATATTTAACCATCAGTCTGCTCTCTGGCGCTAGTGTGAGAAGGTTCTAGTACATTACTGTTAAAAAAAAGAAAAAAAGAAAAAGATCAAATATGATATGTCAAGAGCTTTATAATGTTTTGAACAACCAATAAATAAAATAAAATAAAAAAATAATAAAAAAAAGAAAGAAAAAGATCTCAAAACGGACTCACGCCACAACACAGATGAACCCCCAAAACAGAGTCACACAATCCAGTCACAAGAGGCCCCGGAGGACAGAATCCACTCACATGAAATGTCCAGGGTAGGCAAATCTGGAGAGAGGAAGTAGAGGGGTCACGGAGGGTCAGAGGCAGGGGACTGCCTGGGAGTGGGCAGCTGCTGCTTAGTGTGTCCAGGGGTTTCCTTTTATTTATTTATTTTTAATATATATTTTTAAGATGTTGATGGATCATTATTTTGTCCCTTTGCTTTTATGCGGTGCTGAGAATGGAACCCAGTGTCTCACACATGCTGGGCAAGTGCTCTACCACTGAGCCACAACCCCAGCTCCCCAGGGGTTTCCTTTTAAGGTGATGAAGATGTTACAAGACCAGACAGAGGTGAGGCTTGTATAACACTGAGCCCGTGTTACATCACCAACTGTACATGCTAAAAAGGTTAAAACGATATGTATATATAATTGCAGGACTTGGGGGATGGGGAGTACCAGAGATTGAACTCAGGGGCACTTGACCACTGAGCCCCATCCCCAGCCCTATTTCATAATTTATTTAGAGACAGGGTCTCACTGAGTTGCTTAGCGCCTCTCTTTTGCTGAGGCTGGCTTTGAACTCGCGATCCTCCTGCCTCAGCCTCCTGAGCTACTGGGATGACAGGCGAGCACTACTGCACCAGGCTAAAATGATACATTTTATGTTGTGTGTATTTTGCCATCTAGAAAGAAAAGGAAAGGAAACCCCTCAACTCTTGGCACTGCCAGGGACGTTAGTGGAATTCATTTAGCCAACACGTATTAACTGAGCACCTGCTTTGTGCCAGGCTCAAGGGTGCTGCTGGGATTATGAGGTGAGCCAACTACTCAGACTCCTGCCTGCAGTGCTCACCCTCTCCTGGGAGGGGACAGGGGTTAAAACATAGTTAGCCATCTGCCAGCTGGTGGCATACACAGGCGGTCCAGCTACTGGGGAAGCTGAGGCAGGAGGATCACTTGAGCTCAGGAGTTCTGGGCCAGCCCAGGGGAAGGGAAAAAAATGTATACCTGCGGAGAGAAAGAGGAGCACCATGCAGGTG